ATTTTGCTCTTTTCTCTTGACTTTTACACTGGCTGTATTTGACACAAAGTCAAATTAGGATACTGAGATGATAAAGAGATAAAAGCAGCAAGGCCGTAAGTCACCTAGACTAGTAGGAGCAACCTGAGAGTCTTGAAAGGGATTTGGTTGTATTTTTGTTAAACATTTTACTGCGTGTGATGTGTTACAGGCTGGTTTTGTAGCTCTGTAATCTTGACCCTGTATACACACGGTGTGGCCGTGTGCCCTGCTGTGGAAACAAGGCAGACCGCTTGTACCAGTATGAACCACTGGATTGCCACTAGAATCGAGAACGTTAAAGTCTTTATCCATTACCTGCTCATTTTCTTTCTGCAAATCTGAATAATGAAGAGTGCAGTGACAGAGAGCGTGGGCATAGAAGAATTCGTCTGGACAGAGTAGACTAAAACAAGGTGAGGGGTTTGTGATCTTCCCCATCGATGCTGATTGCGTGTTTGAAGTCCTGAGTGCTCACAGGAGCACTTTCTGCACAGATTTACATCAATAGCCGATGAAAGAGGTGGATGAGGCTCCTGGACGCGAGCATAGATATCCTGGGAGAAACGCGCGGGGGTTGCTGTGAACAGTCTGGCCACCTTAATTGTGGGAATCTTGCTCCAAATTCTTGATACTCTTTTCCTGGGGCTTTCTGAAGCTGTACTCTTGTTTCCTGAAGACCCGGAGCATTTCTCCTTCCTGGGAGCTACTTGGGCTTGCTGCAGGGTTCGGCACCAGGCCCTGTCTAGCTCTGAATGCAGGAGAGGGGGTTCGTTGTGCCCTAGGCACAAGTCGGTTCCTTAAGTCTTGTGGGTCTCCAAACTGGCAACTCTTTCTTGGATCTGTGACAGCTGATTAATTGCTGGTGTGTTTGGAATGGGATTCATTTGGGATTTGGTTGCAAGACTTTTGCCTTACAGAAAAAACCTGTCTGAGCTGAGCAAATAGCTGGGTCAGAGCCTGCGTTCTTTACTCGGAGATACATTGCCCTCAGCCGTGGTGGAGCTTTCTCTTGGAACCTGGTCCGGAGGGACAGTCCTCCAAACGTGCCAAGTCCCTTCTGCTGCTCCCCTATGCTTTTCCCTTGTGCTGCTAGAGGGTTCCCTCGTAAGGCGTTGTGGGATGGAGAAGCCTTGAGGTCTGTCTTGGGTTCCCGATCTTCCTGGAGTCCCAGCTTGTGCAATAAATGTTTCCTGGGGATCACGTGTGCTAAGGGAATGGATCTGAAGACTTCTTGGAGATGGAAAGAGCTTGTAGGGTGTAAATGTTCTTCTTTCTGTAATTGCTCCATGCACTTCTCCCACTAGTGCTCTCTATCTTTTGTTAGTGGGATTTCAAGGTTTCAAATTCCTGGACGATTCTACCTTTAGAGAAAACTTGGTGGAGAGGGGAAGGGGAAGACAATTCACCCCACTTGTGTTAGAAAGTGGGAGTTCACGTGGAATTCACCTCATGCCCGGGAAAGAGGGCTTCCCCAGCTTCCTCAGTTCTGCTAATGCATTTCCAGAGACTTCCCCTGTGTTGATACAAGGGCTTTATTGCTGAAATTCACTTCATTTTCAGTCTGTCCCCAACCTCTTGTATCACGTTAATGAACAATGCGGTTATTCCCAAATGCAGCATCCGCATCCCAATACATATCCCTTTCGTGAACCTAACTCACTTGCTGCTTTTTTTGTAGGAATTTTAGGTCCTTGCCACAACAGGGAGAATAATCAAATATGGCACCACATTGCTTACAATAGTTTTTTGAACTTGGGAACCCTAGGACTGAGTCTGAGTGCAGAAAGCTCTGCTTTAATTTATGGTCGGTATTAACATGCGGAGCCGAAGAGCATATAAGCTGCAGCTGCTCAGGAGCCCACTCTGAAGATGAGGCTGGGAGAGCTGTTTTTTATTAAGTGGTACTTGATTTAGTCCTAAGTAAAACCATTTGTATTTAACCTGATCCGTGAAGCTGCTGTAAGTGTTAACATACTTCAGTATTAAACGTTTCACTCTGGGGCATCATCACGCGTGGCGGGTTTGCGTAAGAGCCCGTTTCTGAACCTGGAATAGTTATCCATTAGGTGAGCGTGTGCATTTTCAAAGGACCTTAAACTCAGTTGAGCCTATATTTAAAACTTACTGTCATGGTAGTGGGTGACGTGGAAAGATCTAGTGACAAATGTCCCTTCACATCGGGTCTGAAGCGAGCTGCAATACTTTGGTGCTAAGGTAGTCTCTGCAAACCTGAAGGGATGTAGCTTTTCCCAGAGATGCCCCTTGGCTTCCAGCAGAGAAATCACTTGCCCTTGGGGCAGTTAGGCATCGATCTGCCCTTTGTGAGCTGCTCTTGGGTGACTGCCAGGTGCAGCAAGCTACTTGCCGTTTAACTGTAGGGCAGAGCAGCTTATGCTGAACCAAGAAAACTCTTGAGCCAAAACAAACTGCTATAAACTTTTCTCCCGCCCTATGAGAATGAGGGGAAGAAGGTTATTGCGTCCAAACTCTTTTGGAGCTGGCACTGTGGGAAAACTCTGTCCAATCTGGGACTCATTGTATCTGAGGAACTGTAATAAATCCTGACGGACCCCGCAGATGGGACTTGGATCTCCTGTGTACGAGTACACACACAGACTGCCGGGATTGAATTGGCACTTCTGGATACAAGAGCCTCTTCTCATAAAGTAGTTTGTGACGCACCTTAAGCAGACTTCATGGATCGTAATGTGAGATCAGGGGCAGGTCTGAGCTGAGAATTATTTGTTCCTGGTGGTAGGTCCCAGGCAGTTGTGTTCCTGGTGGGTCAGGAATATTTAAGTGAGCGTGTATGCGTGTGCCCAGGCGCACAGGTGCCTGTTTGCTCAGTGCCATGAAGGTACAAGGCGGTCTGCGTAATTGCTGCAAAGGGGAGAGCTTCCTGGGCGAATTTTGTGCCTTGAAAGCAGAAAACCTTTTGCATCAGAGTGAAAAATCTTGGTTGTAAAAGGGAACCTGGCTTCGGTTCCTCTTAGCCTGAGTGTTTCTGCCAAGCTTGCTGCTGTGATGTTAAGGATCTTTTATTAGATATTCTGTGCTGTTGCCCCCTTCTGTCAAATGGGAGCAGCCTCTGTGGTGCAGAGCTGAAGCAGTCTGAAGTTCAGGTGGGAATAAACCTTTGATTTTTCTCCTGCTCTGTTTTTTTTTCTGATGCTTCCTTCATAATTCATATTAAGATTATTGATTAAAGATAATTGCTGTAAGATATTATTCACAATCCATTAATCCTGATTTATAGCAGAATTCTTCAGCAAGCTTGGGTGCTGAAACATCACCGCTAATTGTCTTAACTGAGCCTTGCTTGAAATGAAGATTTCTTGCCTTTCCGTTTGTATTCCCTTCTTCCCAAAGCGCTGGCGTTTTGATTCTTGCCTTTAAATGTTGAGAAATACAGTTGTTCTTTTCGCACTGTAACAGTGCCTCATAATCTCGCCCTTCTGCCATCTCTCTGAAGACGCAGAGTTTTTTGGTCTTGCAATTCAAATTAACATGAGATTGCCGTAATTTGCATCATAGCTGTGGGAGGCCGTCTGACAGCGCCGAAGGCAGCCAAGGAGAATTGAATTCATCAGCTCTCACATTTGTCAGAGCAGGGACTGGGATGAGTTCTGCTCCTCTAATCTGGGCAGGAGAGTAAACATTTAATGTGAGCGGTTGGCAAGGGTGACTTTCTGCTTTGTGGCTCATCTCCTGGGTGCTGGAAAGGAGAGAGGTCTCTCTGAGTCCTGGCCTCGCCTTCGAGCCTTGCCCCTGGGGTTCGTGTCTGTGTGCGGTGAGGCTTTGGAGCTGTTGCTGCTTCTAGATTTTTTTTTAGCTCCTCTCCACAGCCCGAATATGTTTCCAAATACATTGCTGATAGGGACTCGGCGTTTTCTGAAATCGGAGCTTATGCTGTGCAGAAGGAGACGGAAAACACTAAGCAGCTCTGAGGGGAAAGGGGGCATCATCTCAAGATTGCTCAATGCAGGGGGAGGGGTTCTTCAGTGTGTAGAGTTGGCTTTTATTAACGTCATTGTGGTGGTGTGGTCACTTAGATGTGTCAAGACGCTTAAATTGCACGTTGTAGAATATTTTGAATATTTGGTTTTAAACTATTTGGTTTGACAGGCTTCTAGCAAGTTACCCATATCTGAGTAAATGGGTTTTGTTTCCTGGACTAAATGTTTTCCTTTACTTGATGTATCAGTATTGAGAGCAAACATGAAGTCACAATCTTAGGAGGACTCAATGAATTTGTTGTGAAGTTTTATGGACCACAAGGAAGTAAGTATATGACCCAACCCTTCTGTAAAAACAAACTAATGGCTTATGGTGGGGAACAGTGAAATGACACATTCTTCTGGAGTGGAAGAAGAGATGAGCAAATCTAAGTGGGGGTGAGAAATCAAAGGGTAGCAGTGTTTGAAGGCTGCTCTCCCAAGGGCGGGGAGAAATACAACTGCAAGCATTAATGCGGATGAACCACCTCCCTTGGAGCTGAGCAGAGCTGGGTACTGCCTTCGGACAGCTAAGCCCTCTGCTATGGCCTTCAGCACTGCTTTTGTTGATCCTTAGCTTTTTTAGACCTGGCTCATAAGTCATCTGATTTTTTCATCAGCCACCTGAATTTTTGCGGAGTTTGTAATTAAGGTGGGTTTTCTAGTGACTAGATCACAAGTCAGGTCTCCAGCGTGCCTTAATTTAGTAACATCTCTAAAGGTAAGTAGATTATTCTAAAGTCTCTGTTTTGAATAAGGCTCTTGTGTCTTTGTGCCGAGATCATCTGCAGTATCAGTTAAAATCATGTATTTCTTGTTAGGCAGCACAGGAAAAAGGCTTTTACCGTAGGAGGTTTGATATGAAATCTTACCCCCTGATGGAACTAAGTATTCTTCCAAAGATGTGTTTTGCTTAATGCTGTAGTTCTATTTATTCTCTCCCGAGTTATGAAGTGTCTAATACCTGCATTTCTTTCATTGCAGCACCGTATGAAGGTGGAGTATGGAAAGTTAGAGTCGACCTTCCTGATAAATACCCTTTCAAATCCCCGTCTATAGGTAACCGATAATCATGTTCAGTCAAAATCCTTTTACTGTTTATGCAGGAGAGATGTTATTGCTTGCAGCGTTGTTGCAGGTGAAGTTGCACCAACCCTCAGGGCAATCATAAGGTCTTTACTTCAACTCTGCAGAATGCTTTTACCGTAGACTTTCAGATATCACATACCAAGCAGAGAGGAAGTTTGGTCTTTTGGCTGAAGGGCTAGGGGCTGGAAATGTCATTTGGTCACGTGTTTGTGTGTTGATGAATTGAGTCTCTCTACCCTGTGCCTTTTTTTAATAATCTGTCCATTTGTGGGTAAGGCGCAGGACACCACAGTGGGCGCTGGAGCCTGTTTATATAAAATGACTTGTTTAGTATGGAGTGCATATGGTGCATGTGCATAATCTTGCGGTGAACCTAGCTGTTGGGACCTCTTGTCCAGAAGTGGATGGAAGTGAAGGCAGGAGCTGAAGCATCTGTCCTCCCGGACTGGGTGATGCCTATGTGGAAGAACATAGAAGCAGGGACCTATCACCAGAAAAATTGCAGCTGGCTAGATTGGTCAGGCTTGTTTAACCTTCAAGAGCAAATAGGAAGCTTGATAAGGAAATGTTCTTTAGACTGTATCCATCCTATCTTTGTCCTTGGGTAACGGTGGACTAACTCGGATGTCTTCTGGTACCTAACTTTATTCTAATCACTTAAGCTCTAAATGAAATAGCCAACGTTGCTTGAAAAACTGGAGCAGATGCATCAAGTTCCAGCATCTATTCTGGCTTATGAAATAAGTGCTGGTAATTCAGTGGCATGGCGCTTCTCAGTCAGAGGGGTGCGCTTGCGGCTGAAGCCACCGGAGGACTCTAAAGAATGGAGAAAACTGCCCAAGGAGAACTGATGTGGAAACTTGATTATACAGGTTGGACGAGATGGGTCCCTTCCAATATCAACATCCTGATTTGGAGTTGATAAGTATTGGCTGCTTTCTTAAAATAGACTCTTACGCTAAGAGTGCCTTCTATTTAAGATACCTGTCTCTGGTGTGAGAAATAGTCTGTCTAGTTCCAAATGCGAACCGTGCCTTTTGGGAAAGAGCGATGCTGGTTTTACACCATCCTTTACCTTTCTTTTTTTCTGTTGAAACCTTAACTGAACCACAGAAATGTGCACGCAGCTGAGTAACAATGCAGTATTGCTGCAGCTATGCGAACCCTCTTCTCCTTCCTCTTGAGTCAGCTCTGAAACTTACTATAAACCTCTTAGGTTAGAGACTGTTTACAAGATGCACAGTCTGGTTTTTGGTGCCAGTCATTTCCCCCCCCCCCCCACTTCTCAAGTGCCTCAAACCAATGCAGATCGGGGTACTGTCATGTTGGCAATCTTAAATGGGGGCTGGCTACAGACAACTCTCAGAAAGCATATAAAACCCACTTCCCTTGTTAATTGCTTTGGTGCTAGTCTACTCAAGATTATTTTTCTCTCTCCTGATGTATCACAAATCAAGGTTGCTGGCTTAAAGCAAAAACAAACTTTCCTTCCAGTAGCTTACGAAGCCAACGCAGCTTAACGTTGGCCAGGCTCTTGTATATTCATAACGTTGATTGAGGCTCCGGTTAGTTGCATGGAAGGTGGTAGGTTTGACCTTTTGGTGGTTTGGCTTGGAGGCTGTTCAGGTGCTGGTTGGGATAGGTGGGAGTAAAAGGCAGCCCGGGATCGGAGTTGGCCCGGCTGTATTTTCAGAACTGACACCCCAAGGATGGCCTTTCTCCTTGTGAACTTGGGGTGGGTGGGTGTGCGGGGAGTTGTTTTGTGCTCAAATCACTGAGTTGCTTTGTCCCTTCTGATGTTGCTTTTGCTGTCTTCCTTTTAGTACAGCATCTTTCCATCCATCAGCTTGCTTACACCCGCTGTGTTGCGCCTGTTTTATTCCAGACTCATCGGACCTTCTAGCATGCTTCCCTTGCCCTACGAGTCTCTAAGTGGCTGAAAACCACCTCCTCCCTCGCTGAGCTCCCCAAAAGGCTGGCTCTTGCTCTGGGGCCTGCCTTGCTGTCTGCTGGGCGAGCGCTGCCTTGAAGCGCAGGTTGCCTCCCGGGTGAAACAGTATGCAGCTGAGGTTTCGGGTTGAATAAACAGTTGATGCTAGACGAGAGCTGGCTTAGCAAAGAAGGGCTCAGCTCTGCTGCAGGGAGGAAAGAGCTGGGGAGTGGAAGCGCCAAGGAGAGTGCTAGGACCCGGGGAAGCTCCCAACCGGCTGCAGGAAGAGGTTTGTTTTTCTTTGTCTGGTTCCCATTTCTGCTGCCCCAGCCCAGCTTATCCGGACAGCCAGGGCTGAGTGACGTCTCGTCCCCTTCCTCTGGGCCAGCCCGATCTCTGCGCCACTGCTCTCGGGGGCAGACTCCGTGTGCGGTGCCTGATACTGCTGGTTTTGGCATTACAGATAGCTCCAGAGCAAGCCTTCGTCCCGGCTGAACCGGGAGCATTCTTAGGTGTGAAACAAGCTCGTGAATGAGATGAGATCCTGTTCTCTCCCAGGTCTGCCTGTTCCAGTGAGCATGGGTGTCCTAGCCCAGCAGTCCTCAGCCAGCTTGAGCTCTGGATAACACAGGGGTAGGAATTAGTAGGGAAGAAATTTGCTGTGGCAAATCTCTGATCTGTAAAGAGGTGGAAGTGAAGGATTTCAGAGATGGTGGAGCCCATAAATGGACAGAAGGTCACCTAGAGCACACATGTAGCTTGTTTGCAGTCTTCTTGTGCTCAGCACTGCATAGCTCCCACTGCGGTGATGACATGCAGAGTTCAAATTGTCTGTAAGTCACTGGCTTGTATAAAGTATAGAATCCAGCCGTTTCTTTTCCTTTAACAAATTACACTTTTATGCTGAAGCTTAAAGCCAAAATGCTGTTCTTGCAGCTTTCCTTGTTCCTCTAGTACTGTAGGCTAAAATTTTCTTTCCATTTTAGAAAATCTTAATGCAGTCTTGAACATGGCATGGGCTTTTTGCAGCAAATAACATCGTGGCTTGAAGCATATCCATGCATTCTAGAAAGCCGCTTCTGTAAAATGACTGCTAATAGTTGCTTTCTAATCTGTTCAAATTGCTTTTATCCCAGCATGGTTCTGAGTATGAGGTACATGAAAACTTGGTGTTCTCTTCTAAAGAGTGACTGACAAACCTGAACAGAAAAGGGTTTTAAAGTGGGTTCCAGATTTGTCGTCTGGAAAGGTGCGGACCTTTTCTTGAACCCTAAACGAGTGGTGGTCCTCTTCACCTTTGAGGGTCTCTAGCAGAAGCCTCTGCTCGGTGTGGTGGCCCTTCTCCTGCCAAATCTTTGCTCCCTTGTCTCATCCACAGCTCCCTTCTCAAATGTGTGGCATTTTTCTCCTGCCCTTCTCAGGTTGGTAATTATTGCAGTAGCCTATTAAATGATGCTGCCCCAGGGACAGCGCTCTCCTGACAGTGCAGGTAATGCCTCTGCTTAAAGACCTAAACCATCCTGGGATCTGTGTGAAAAGAGCAGTTCCTGGGAGAGCTTCCAGGGTTTCATCATGTCCTGCAGTACCTTTCTGGTATTTCTGGCACTGCCTGTTCCTTGCTTGGTCTTTGCTGTGTGTTCGGACAGATGCCATATTGGTGCAGGATGATTTTTCCTAACAAAAGCTATATAACATACAGTAACAAGGGAAATGCGCATCCTAGAAGAACACGAATCTAACTGGAGCCAGATGTAGGCCTGTCATGTTGGCTCTGGGCTTGAGTGCTCCCATTGAACTGAACTAACTCCGCTCGTGATCCCTAAATATCCAAATCTAACTTGAGCAGTTTGCTAGGACAAAACCAACTCCTGAAAAATACCCCGTTGCTTTCTGAAGCTAATGAATGCTGCTGCTCTTAACGCTTTTGTCAATTAATGTAAATATCCCTGCGTGCTTATGAGGACCCAAAGTACTCCCCTCCTAGATGTTTCGTTCCATTTTTGCTTTCTCCTAGACAGTATGTTTTGAACTGTTTATGACTTCGGTAACCCTGCTGGCACTGCTTCGCTACTTTTCCCTTCCCTCTGGGATTTAATATCTTCAGGGGAACTTTCTGCCTAGTCTGTTCCTGCTTTTTCCAAGGGGAGTTGTGAAGTACTTGAAGTACTGTTTTGAGCTCCCAAGTCACGAGGACACTTTGTGTAAATTTTGTATGTTTTTAATCAGTCCATACGCCTGCCAAGAGCCGGAGATTAATGCTCTTTGATGCCATAAACATGGGAGGAAGCGAGGAAGTGCAGAGTGTGAATGTCCTGCCCTGCTTAGATGATAGGAGCAGTAGAAACATGTGAACCTGGGAGCCTGAGCTCTTATCTGGAAGCACTGTGGCATTTATTTTATTGCTAAAATCTGCAGAAATATTAGGCCGGCACTGAGTCACTCTAGTTTCTTAATAATCAAATGTCACAGCTGCAAAGTTTGCGTACAGTATGCTCAGAGCCTCAATTTCTCAAATAACTTCTGTATATTTGTACACAGTTCTCATTTTCCTTCCATCTCTGGCCCAGTTATCTGCAGATATCTTGCATTTATATTTCACCTTTATCCTAAGTGTTTTGCAAAACAAAATGCCTAGTACGTACACAAAACATATGGAAGAGTGTGTGTATATGTGAATGTAGGTATATAATGAGACATTGTGGCAGCCGGTACAGGAATGAAGTAGTGCTTAGCTCCAGCCAGGATTTAACAGATCTCTCCTGGCCTGTGCTTAATTTTTCTTTTTAACTGCAGTTGCTATTTTTACTTTCAGCTCCTCTCTGGATTGTCTTACATTTTGCTACTTAGAATTTCATGAGTCACTTATCGCCTGTGACCATTCTGAGCTTGCTCTTCCCTGTGTGTGTTGATCCTTATTCTGACCTATAAGCGATGTGAAAATGCTTGTTCTTTCAAATACGCTTAGCTTTGTCTAAGGGGAAAGACGAGACACCTAGGGGTAATTTGTATCCCTGTCTCCACTCCGGTCTGACGCACAACT